TGCAACAAAACTGACCGATAGTACTGATACCCTCGTAGTCAGAGACTACCTAGCTGGACCAGGGCCTGCTGCTGGCCCTTTGTACCGTTCTAACCTGGATGGAGGCAAGCAAGAACATTTATTTAGTAGAGGATGTTGCTGCTCCATGGCTCAGATAAACTCCATTCCACCTAGCAGCTCTGATTTTCACATCAGTGCTGGGTGTTGACACAGTCCAGTGAGGTTGCTGTTTTCACGTGCTTTCACATGCCTTCTGTGCTTAGCCTTGCAGCAGACTAAGAAATGGTAGCCCACCACTCCTTCCTGAAATGGTGAAACTTACCACCATGAGATGCTTTGTTTAAGAGAAATACAAAGAGAAAAAGCCAGGGAGGCAAGGTCCTTAAAATGGCAACTGAAGATGGGAGGCAAGAGCCTCCAGCATGGCAGATCTCTGAGACTGATTGGTAGCCAGAAGTTTTACACCAGAGGATGATCTAGGAGCACATGCTGTCTCTGGTCTAAACAGATACCAAAGACAGGGCTTGTGAATGGATGAACTTCTGTGAACTGTGTCAGAAGACTTGATATCTGTTTTGCACACTCTGCATTACTCAAGTGGTGCAAGTCAGTGGAGGCAGAGTATAGGGGCAGCACGTGTGCCTGCAACACATTGAACTTCTCAAGGGGAATTAACTTAATTCACTCTGTCTGCAAATCAGGCAGTGCAGGCTTGGTCACGTGCCAGTTTAGGAGAGGGATTATTAATCAGGCCGATGGCTGTGCTGCTGTCACTCTGATGATGACAGTAACAGACTATTGCTTCTCTGGGTGTGGTGCTTGGCCCATTTTCACAGCTTATTTTGAAAGCACACATCCCATGAAACCAGGAGGAATGACAAACTGGGCAGAGACAGGTTTCAACCAGGTCTGAAACCCACTGAACAGAACAGAAGGCCTCTTCTGGCTAAGATCATTTTGTTTTTTCAAAACGAACATTCTTGCGTGATTTCACTGACCGGTCCACACGGGACCACTTTGTGGAATCGGGGTTGGTTTTGGCATCATTCTTATGGTACAGTTTTCTGACAAATATTTGTATGCAGCAGTCAGTAGTGGTTACCAGCTTCAAATTCTGCAACAGCATAGCTTTGTTCCTAGCAAGGCTGGGAAAGGCCATGGGTGGGAAGCACATGAAACTGAGAAGAGAAAGCGGCACTAGGAAGACCAACATAAGCCTTGACACTAATGACCCTCCTGAACATGCAGGCTCCTCACCACTTCTGTTGTGCAATGTAATACACTCTGCTTCCTTCACGCTTCTTCTCTGGAGGCAGATCCCCAGCCAGTGTAAATCAGTTTCTCAGCACTGTGGTCACCAGTGTCTGCCAGTTGACACCAGCTGAGGGTTTGGTTGTAGGTGGTTGTTTCCCTGAAGGCACAGCAGCACTCCTGAAATGTGTCAGGAGCCTTAAGCTGTGATCCTGCTCCCATCCCTCCTCATCACAAAGTGAGGTGCCAGCAGTCTGTTAAGAAAACACATGTTGGTTTTTAAAAGCACAGCTGCAAAAGGGAAGGGAAAAGTGCCCCATATCTCTTCTGGGGCACCTTGCTGCCCACATAAAGAGGCTTGCTGGACATAAGCCACAGCTCTAGTGGAACGTTTCCAGCCACCCAGAGAAGTGGAACATCCCATCACTGTCAGGCCAGGGCCAACACACAATATTTTATGCAACTATTTTTGTGGTGGAATAGAATGGTTTGGTATCTGGGACATCTGCCGGAAGCAAAACACCCTTTGTGGGAGTCTACACAACTCAGCTGGCCTCCCGTTGCTGGTTGCTGAAGCCATAGCCTGGGACTGCTTTACAGGTTTGGTTAAGGGCAGAATTAAAAAAAAACACCCAAACCAACCGAGTTTGCTTCAGACTGATATCAATCATGCTCAGTATTACCATGTAAGGTACGCCTTGCGCAAAAACCAAGAACCTGAGACATCCCCTTGAATGCCTCCCCGCTTCCCCAAATCCTATTTTTGAGAGAAGAGCCAGAGTGAATGCATGGTTGTGGCAAGGCCTCGCCACCTGCCACCCCTAATTATAAGGAGCCCTGATCTGCATTAGCAAAAAACCATCCCCCCATACAGACACATTCATGCTCACCCTCTGCAAACACAACCATTCAACCACTAATTTCAGACACTGATTCTTTCATGGCAGCAAGATATAAATATAGGCCTTGATGGCCCTAAAGTTTTTTGGGTTTGTTTTTTTTTCTGTTCACTGTAACTCTTACATTATTTCCATAGCTGATTCTTCAGGTCAGTTTTGTGATGTGAAGTCCAATACTTCGGGCCATCTGCTGTCTTTAAATCCAGGTACCCATACTGTTAAACCAGTATCCATCAGCATCAGTGGGTGCTCCAGGCATAAAAGGTAAGAGATCAATTAGTAGGTTTTTTAGACTGATGCACTCAACCTTTTCTGACAGAAGGAAAATTTTGTCACATGATTGCTCTTCTACTTCCAGCAAAGACAATTGTCACTTGTGCCTGCAATGAGATAAACCACATACATATTCTGTATTTAGAAGTAATGCTGTTTGAGGCTACCAGAAGGTACCGTGGGGTCAAGATTTATAAGTCCTCCTGAGGCCTTCTTGTTATATCTGTGGCATTAAAACAATGACAGGGGACTAGCTGTGTAAGAGCTGCAGCACCCAGCCCTGACTTGTAGGCTTACTTACCCATGGGCAAATTCCAATATATGTATACATATAACCATTAAAGACAGAATAACCCTCAGATTCTACACTGGAGGTTTTGTAGCATTCTTCAGGAAAAGGCATCCTAATGTTTCCATGAAAAACAAAGTTTTTGGAGGATGGGTCTTACTTTTTTAGCATCAGAAAGGAACACAGTGGTCCCTTTAGCTTCTTGACTCAACAGAACCTTGTCTTCAAACAAGAAGATTGAAGGGCAGAGTGAAATGTGTGGTTTACCTACCATGGAAAGAAGCAGTCTTCCTTCTTTTCACTTGCTTATCTGCTGGGTGAGGATTTGCATAGTCTGCAAAGCAGCCAGGCTGAGGGATGAAGACCACCCAGATGATGCTATGGTTAATACCCTCCCTATGATCCAGCCCATATGCTGTGTGGCTGAGGAGACGGCTCACTGGCCTCTGAATGGCCTCTGAGGACCTTAACCTCAAGAGCACCACGTTTCTTTGGCAGGACAGTAGGATGAGATTGGTTTGTTTTTTGCCAAACTCCAAATCCAAAACTGGACTCTTTGTTCTGAACTATGGATTACTGGAGTGTGGTTTAACAAGGTCATATGCTATTGCAGATATTTAACTACCAAAATGTAGTTGGAAAATCAAAGAAAATGAAAACCAGCTTATTACACTCAAACACCCAACAATTATATGTGAGTCCTCCATAATATGCACTTAAGAAAATAGAAGAGACCATCAGAAAACTCAAGGGAACATAAACCACAGAGAAAGAACAGGGGAGGATGGCAGAAATCTGCAAGAGACTTCAAGAGGCCATACACTCTTTTTCTTAGGGCAAAATCCCTGTCTCTGTCTTTCTCTATAAATGCTTGTCTTATCATAGATAAGACAAACATCAAACACTAGTAATGGGGATTTCACAGTCTCTCCAGGCAATCTGTCCCTATCACTATCTCTGCTTTCAAGAAGACTTGTTTTTCTTCCCTTACTTTGAGACTGTTTCTTCATATCGTATCCATCAGGGACAAGAAACTGAGTAGGAATCAATTTAGAGAAATTACACTGTTCTTTTTTTAAAGAAAGGATGGCAAATGGTTTTTCTTTACAAGTTCATCATAAGTTGCTCTGGCTCAAAAATATGGATTTTTTTTTCTTCTCTTTTTCTGTTTTTCTGGGTTTTTTTGTTTGTTTTGTTTTGTTGGGGTTTTTTTTGGTTTTTTTTTTGGCTTGGTTTGGTTTGTTGTTTTTGGTTTTCTGTTTTGTTTGGTTTTATTTTAGGCCCAAATTAATTTCCATGTGCACACTTCTGGCAAAATGATCTGCTACAGAGTACCCACCAGTAATAGTGAATCCCTGCAAAGATGTAGAGGTAGGGCAGGAATACCAAAATCTTTTCTGAACCTATTTAATAGCGTCCCAGTTAGAGGTCTGAATTAGCCAGACCTGGAGACCTATTGGAGTCTTCAGTCCTGACAGCTAGAAATGCAGGAACATTCTGACCTCTAAGAATATACGCTGAAGTTTTTCAGATGTATTTTGGTCTGGCCAGAGAGTTCCTCTCAGGCAATAGGACTTTTACCACTATGTAATTTGAAAGCTTTTAATAATTGGTGAGAAATAGTCTTTCTGAGTGCAGAATGCAGCAACATTCTGTTGCATTGCCAGAAACTACTTCCTACACAGCACACAGTTTACAAAAGTAATGTTTTTGAGAGTGGTGTCCTATTCCCAAAGACGGACATTAATCAGTGCGGATGGCCACATTCAGCTTGTCCCACAATAACCACACAAACACACATTTGAAGAAGCCAAAGGGCAGATCTGCTGCAGGGAATGAGCTGTTGTAGCTTCATGGACTTCTGCTGGGTAGCAGTGATTTCCATAAATTAAGAACCTTGTGCCCAAAGGTCTACATGCTTGGTTTCCTTCTGTGTTTACAGAAATGCTCTACACTGGCTACACATTGAAGGGAAAGTCAACCCTATATATGCAGGCTGGTCTCAGTTCCTTTTGGATGTGTTTGTGAACATATTACGGTTGTGAAAGCAAGCCTTCAGCTCAGTATGGTTACAAACACTTCAGTACTTGCTACTGGGTTCAGAACAGTCAGATTCTTCAAGTTGAATTAAAAAAAAAACAACCCTATGCTTTACTATCATATTAGTCCTGCAATGAAAGAATATATTTAAGATGGCATTACCACAATTTATGTGAAAAAGTTATTACAACTAAATATTCAGTGTGCCATAAGTTTTGCTACAGAAATGCATCTGACAGCATAGCAGGCAGAACATCTTCAGACTTTAATACTTACATTACATATCCAACAAACAGTAATAATGCTTATAAAAAGGCTTGTAACTGTCTTTTATTAAGATTCAACTCACGAGATATAAACTATGGCATAAAGGTAAGACTGGAAGCTTGTGTAATTGTGGGGAAGAAAAGAAATCATACCCAGACATAAACTGATTACAATGGCTCAAAGTAAAGTAAGTCAGGTAAATTGTTTTCAGACTCTTCTGAAAAGACAAATGGTGCTTCTTCAGGTATCTGCAGTGAGAGAGCAAACAAAAGTACTTCAGTCAGCAAGGCAATAACAAGCAGGATTTCAGCAATAAAATTTTCAGGTTTTGGAGAGAAAGAGCATGGGGAGCTTGAAGTAGACATGGTCTGTGTGCAAACGTGAGGGCTTCAGATTTTGTGATCAAAATTCTGCTGTCAAACATTCAGGCTGATGCTTCAAGGCCCAGAGCAGCTGGGCACTCTGCTTACCAAAGCCTCCTGGCAGAAACTGTCCCACAGCACCTAATTCTCACTCTACTAATGGCATGAAGGTTTGATGGGGCAGAGCACAATATGCTACAAACTCCTGATCTATAAAAACACAGAAGCGCATGCACAACTTCCGTTCATGATTATATCATGTGCAGTGCCAGGTCTGTTCTCTTACAACCCATCTTGAGTTTAAGTTTTGAAGGAACCAACTTTGCATTTTCTGATTTTGTAAATGCAACACATCCATCACCTGCATTGCACCATATTTTCTCTGGACTGAAAGGATTAAAAACAGAGATGTAATAGGCCATTTTTCAGAAGAGTATGTGTCTTCCTTTTTCTTCTCCATTACTTAATGGTATTACTTTCCAAAAGAATAGGGGCACATATCCAACATCCTGCAGCCCTGAGAAACTTTCCTAAGCCAACTGCTCCTCTTCATTGTTCTTCGGCATCTCTGCATAGCTGGAGCAGATTATGGCCTTGAGTGTCTTACTCATCTCCCATTTCTGTGTATGATCATAGGCATCCCTCATCAGCGTTGAAAGGTACTGTCAGTGCAGCTTTTATTTCTTTTTCATTCCCTTCCTGACATGCTTACAATGACAAAATCTCTAGATGCAAGATCCATTTGGCAAAAAAGTTGCACTTTCCAACACAGCCAAAAGGAACTACTTTACACAAAAAAAATCCACTGTTGTTTTAACAGAAGTCTCTTGGAAATGTGTGCTAGCAAGATCTCATCTTTGTTTTTACTTCCTTCTATTACAGAGCCCTGCATGCGAGTCAGCTAGAGACTCATATACAACCTCGCAGTCATGTGGGGAGTCCCAGGCACTGCTGTGTGCCCCACTGGCATGGGGCAGAGTGTGCCCAGGAGGCTCTTCTCCCCCACCCTCATCTACCAGAACCCAGACAGGGCTTGGCAGCTCAGTGGAGGAACACCCTGAAAACCCCAGTGGGACTTCCCAGCAGTGGTGAATCCCCAGGAAGCTCTGCCAGCCTTCCAGTCACTCTTAGCAACAGGCTAAGCCAGATGCATATTTATTATGTTAACATGCAAGGTTTAATATATAAAACAAAACAAAAGCCATGTATATAGCTCAAGATGGTTTCCCTGCTACCTTCAGCCTGTAGTTCTATAGCCAGCCTAACCTCTGGGACAACTGTCACAGCTCTAAGCACCAAAGACTTTATATTGCTCTTTTCCTTGGTGGTTTCACATGCTTGTACACACATCCCCAAGGATTTTCTGTAAGCCCTAGCTCCAATAACTGATTCAACCAGGATGTCAGCTTGTATCTATCTGTCTTACTAATGAAATCCCGTCTAGCACCAGCTCAGCAGCTGGCAGGAAAATGGCTTTTAAAATACATCTACAGAAAGAGCAGGTGTAGAGAGGTGTCTGAAAGCTGCATTAACTCTGAGTTCATGTCAGACTATATACATACATAACACTTCTGACATGAATTATTTGTTTATAGACTGATAGAATAAAGAATGCAGCCCATTAGTACCGTGTAGTAGAGTTTAAACATGAGGCAAGCAAGCAAGCTTTGAAAATCATGTCCTTGGGAAGGTCTCCAGACATAATTTGATTATTGGAAATGGAAAACAACCTCTTTTACTCTTGAATCTTGAAATCACCAGGACTTCCTCCCATGAAACCAAAACAAGGCTCTTTCTGCCCTGTGGATATTCTGTGCTTCTGACTTGGCCAAAGTCTTATTCATTACTCTTACTCAATAGTCAGCAAAATGTGCTGTTGCAGCATAGTCATAAACTTGAGTGGTCTTGTGCACACCATTTGCTGTTGGGGTTATCAGCTATTTTCCAGGTATAATCAGGATTCTTTTCTAAAGTAATAAAATAAATTAGGTTCATCAATAATGTGAGGAGGTTTCTGACTAACCTTCTCCCTAGCATGAGAAAACACCTTTCTTGTTCTGTCCTGGTAACTCCTGCCCAATAGGACTTCAGCAGCATCCTGAGCTGGCACACCCAGAGGGAGACATCAAGCGCCTTATTATAATTAGTATTTTATGACACTTAAATTGGAGATCTCTAACTAATGACATTAACTGTCTTGAGCTAAATGTTATGAAGAGCTGAAGGAAAGCTAAATTCTGGCCCAGGGAATACTGTTTACTTCTGCTGAGCAGCAGGGGGAAGGGGAAGCCTTGCATGTAAAGAAGAGAACTCAGAAAAGCAGCCACCTAGTTTCTTGACATTTGCCAAATTACAAAACACACTTGGATGTTGCTCCTTTGTACAAGTCAGAAATAAATAACAAATGTGCAAGACAGTTCAGGAAAAGCCAACTAACAGTGCCCTAGTGCTGTAACTACTTGTGCTCCCATCTCTCTCACTGAGCCTTCATTAGGCTCACTCCCAAGTGAATTACCAACTTCTTTTGATCCAGCCTCTGATTTGTAAATCCTGGCTTCAGGTCTTTTCAAGGAGGAGAGGCCCAAATTGGAGAGCACAGGTACATCCTTTCTGCTGGGAAGATGTTTTGAGATCTGAAGGAACATCTGGGCTCTGACTCTTGGTTCAAAAGATGGGAAAGGTTAAGAGCCTGGCAGATGCCCAAGTGTGGCTGCTACACAGCTGCTGCAGCTACTTCTGCCATGCCAACTTAATCCAGTTCTCAGTACCCGTGCATATGTATTCAGGTTAACATCCTCACACTTTACAGTACAGGAAAATCTGATGTTACTTTTGTCCTAGCTGGTCTTTGCATTCAGCCAGCTGTGGCTATGGGATATAGGACTCCTTCCAAGCCTCTTAGAGAAGACCTTGTCTAGCTTAGGACCTATTTGGAAAGCTCTGTAAGTCTTAATCAGACCCCAGGTACCAATCCTCCTTGGGCTGTGTCAGCTTGCATGTAAGCAAAACTCACCCTCAACACCATACCACCACCAGATTAAACCTGCTGAAGCATCTGCAGCCTCTGAGATGGAGCCTTTCATCTAACAGCTACTTAAGGACTCCTGTTAACATGAGAATAAAGGTAGGGAGCTTTCTCCCTCACACATATCACCAAAAAGATTTCTATGCCATATGTCATTATCGCTGTAGCTATAACCATAACTCTGAAATAAATGGATTTACTGAATTACTTTGTGAGCAAGACTCCACATGCGCACCTTAACCATAAAGGCCCAAGTAAGCCAGGTCTTAAGAAATATTGTTAATACTTCACTATAAACAGAGTTACAATCTTTCAAGCAAGTAACAGCCGTTTGCCCTGTGGCTGAATAAATGTTACTTGCCTAGTTAGCAGCCCTGAAAGACCCAGCGTCTTCAACGTAAAGGTGGAAAAAATACCATGTAAGATGCAGCTGTTCATGCAAGTCCTCACAAAGTTTAATGTTATTGTGTAAGGTGTAGCTGATAATGTAAACTGTAAATAATTCATTGGAAGTAATTTATGGGAAGGGATCTTGCAAAAGTATTTTGCGTTTTTCTACCCCCATCAGTCATACTGACCTAGACCAGAATAGCTCTGCAGAGGCTGAATAAGTTAGGTCCAAGAAGAGCAGTACTGCTGAACTGCAGTTCTCAGGGGTTTTAAGGACAGGGCTATTGGCACATTGCCATGCATGACACCTTTTTGTGTCAGCAAGTCCTTTTGATATTTATCTCTTTCCCCTTCCCTTGCACTCTGGAGAAAAGGGCTCAAAGTCCTGCCATGCACACACACAGGCAGCAGTGACATCCTCCCTCTGTCCACCTATTCACAGTGGCAGACAAAGCCAAGCTCTGGCCCTGCTGGTGGGACAGGCGGCCCCAGGGCTGCGCTGTGATCAGTGTGCAGTTGCTCCAGTTCAGAATTCCTCCTCACTGTTATTTACAAATACCTTTTTCCTCTCAAACCTTCCGTTTGTGGCTATATTTGCCCTCCATCATGAACACAAGAAAATACATTCTGGTTTTAGTTCTCCTTCCTGCCGTGGTATTTGTAACTGACGGCAGCTAACGCCTTTCTAGAGCCTGCTTTATTCGTATTCTTGTAACTGTAAATACCACTCATCACACACCCAGGGCAGCTCTCACCTCATCATTGCCTTGGGGACTGGTGGGGTTTGCATTTGTGGTTAGAGCAGAAACTGAAAGTGGGATTAGTTGCCAGTGCTACCATGGTTAGCCTAAATCTTCCCTGTGGTCAGCATGAAAGCCCCATTCCTAAAACTGGAGGTTTTAACAGGAAAAAGACTTATATTTGAAACAGAAGTAGATACTTTAACTTCCTCTCTTCTCCAAAGCAATATGGCTTTAAGATCTACCTTCCCCCTCCTGCCCCCTTTTTAACAAACAGGAGTAGTAAGTACATAGCAGAATTTAGTACACCTGGATTATTTATCTCCAAAACTGCCTTTCCCTTGTGGGGAGACACCTCATTTAACTCAGTGCCTCAGTGGCCTGTAACACACATTTAGTTTTCAAAAAAACTTTCATGGGAAAGTGTTCTCTGTGTGTTAAACATCCTGGTAAAGACTCTCCAATCATGTTCACTGTAGAGCAAACTGAGCAAGCTTATCTTGCAGCCAGTGCTGTCAATCCAACTTGACCTTAGTCGCCCTCCTCCAGCTTCAGTCATAAGCCAGAGCCCTTTTCCTTTCACAGGAAGCCTCAGGAGGGAAAAGGTGACATTTTGAAACAAAAAAAAATATTTTTTTTCCTTCATCATTTTAAGCCACGGCCTGTAAATAATGCACAGGTATTTATATATATATATATATATAAATATATTGGCTTTCCAAATGGACAGCAAATGGATATTTCACCCATTTTCAGCCTGATGAAACATCCCCTCCTCCCCTGTCCTGAAAGCTCTTTTTCATCCCCTTAAATCAGTCTGATCTAAGGGGTCCCCCAACTAGACCTAGTCTGACAGTTTAGCAAGGCTGATCCCCTCTGAAGGATAAGCTACACATTGCACCTGCCTCTGAGCAGACTTTTTAACAGGGTACAAGCCTCTGCAGTGCCCTCGTTCACCTGCCATGTCCTCCTGCTCCATTGTTCTCCTTCCCTAACTCTGCCTGGAAAGTGGCTGCTCAGTGGACTCAGCCAGGACCCCTATCTGCCCAGACTGTGCCAGCACCTCTATAGCAGGAGTGCAGCTGGCAGGGTAACTTCATTTACTCAACAAGTGTGGTCACTCAGGGGCCTGGGACAGTGGGAAAAGGAAAAAAAGCAATAAACATAAATGTCTACTGAAACTAACATAAGGAGAAGCCCAGCTGGAGGATTAGGTATGGAAAGTCAGGTTGGGAGCTGCTGGGAAGAAACAGAGGGAACCTGCAGAGAGCCAGGAGGCTTAGGCTTTTCCTTTTGCTGTATGGGCATCCTCAGTGCTTTTCTATCTGCGTATGTCCTTATTTATAAAACTAGAATTGTGAAAGGAATAGTAATAGACTATTCCTGTTGGTTTACATGCAATTGTTTAAACTTTATCATTAATGTATGCAGAAGATATGTAAAAACAAGATGGAAGCATGTAAAAACAAGGTGAGACTCAAACCATCAGCTCATCCTCAAAATTCACTTCTAGGCTATGTCACAGACTGAATTTTTCCACTGGAGGAAAAATTTATCCTTTTAACAAGTCAGGGAGGATATCAAGAGAGCTTCAACTACAAACTCCTGGCATCTCCGGTTGCATGAAATCTTTATCCATGCCTAAGCCCAGAAAAAGCAATAATAATTAGAACTGATATTTACCCTGTTATATCACAATACTTGAACATACCACATTCGGTACTGATATTACTGACAGAACATAACTAGTGCAAACCAAGCTGTTGCACTCCTTAATAAGGCACCCTTCCTATGCTTTTCAGCAGTTTTAAGACTGCCTCTCAGATTACATGAGGTACTAATGAAGCTCAGTGCAAAGGATTGGATTACATTTTATGTAAGTGTTACAAAGTGTAATGTGACTTGCACTCAGGGAGGGAGTAATGAACCTGAGGACAAAAGAGAGGAGAGAGGAGAGGAGAGGAGAGGAGAGGAGAGGAGAGGAGAGGAGAGGAGAGGAGAGGAGAGGAGAGGAGAGGAGAGGAGAGGAGAGGAGAGGAGAGGAGAGGAGAGGAGAGGAGAGGAGAGGACAGGAACTGGAGGAGGGACACTTACTGCTTTCAGACAAAGAAGAGCTCACAAGGAGGACAAGAGCTCTCCGTAAGCCTGTCGAGAAAGCTGTCAGCTTTCCTGCAGCATGGGATTGGTGTGAGGATGGCAGTCAACAGCCAAATCCGAAGAAGAGGTCTAGAACAGGGTGTCTGTCATGGTGTATAGCTCAATAATCACCAGAAATATTGGCACTACTGGGGTTAGGCAATACACACAAGATGTAGTAGCAAGCTCTGCCTTTGTCCTGTTTCACTTCACAGATAGCCCTTTTCCTCCCTGCACTAGTGTAGAGTTGCTTCTTTGCTGGCATGGCTACCTTCTAAATGCTACCCCAGGGAAGAGCAGGAAGGTCAGTGAAGAACAGCAAGAGCTAACTGTAGCACCCCATGGGGCTGGGGAAGCAGCAGAAATTAGCACCAGCAGATTAAAAAAGTCTGGGAAGTACGGCATGTTTGAAGAAAAAACAGTCTAATTACAAGTGTAGACAAGGGACTAATTGCAAAAGCTACACAATTAGACGTGTACAAATTAATTCATACCACTAGTTACAGAAACAACTAAGTATTCAGAAATAGACTTCCATTCACACAGAGAAATACCTTTTTGCATAGGCAGCCCAAGGAATTATTACCAATGCACTGGCTCAGTAGTTCAAATTTGAGTACAATGGCCAAGGACTAACAGTCACTGATGTCCAAGCTGTATCTCAATTGCAAACAGTCATCCACCAAAATGTTGTAATGCATTTGAAGTCTTTAGCACACCCAGAAATGAAGGGTGTTTTTCTTTTTTTTTTTTACACAAATGCAGAAATCTAGCCTCCACTTCAGGAGGCTTGTGAGACACCCCAGGGATGTGCCAGGAGGCCAAGCAGTGGAGAAGCAGCTGGATGTGAGGTTTGAATAAGTGTCCGCTTAGCCATCAGCTGAACCAGTTATCGATGGCCAAGCAAAACTCAGCTCCGTGACCTGCCTTTGACTTTAGCACTGTTTACAACCAGGGACATTTAGCAGCTACAGAGCATGAATGACGTCCAGGACTGCCTCTGCTCACAGCTTTGCACTACCCTTTTTCTTGCATTTACCTGAGCAGCAGTAGAACTGCCTAGAGACCTGTCTACAGTGCACGTGCAGACGCTCACACTCCCTGGGTCAATTACCTACACTGCTTAATACATATACACATATTCACAAAATCCTTATTTTTCCCAAGTACTGTATTCAAATTAAATAGTCATCTCCCTTAAAAAGCAGTTACAATTTTCTGTTTAGTAATTTGCAAATCTAAACAACAAATGTAGAAAAATAATTAGCATAGGAAGAAATCAGTTATTTCTTTGATAAGCTCATAAACCCTCATAAACCCTTTTAATTAAAGTCACAATATTTGTAATTGCTAAAGGGAATATTTTGTTTATAATAGCAAACATTTTTAAGGTCTGATTTAAGTTCCAAGCTAAGTGTGATAATTGAGAAATGGCCTCCAGGGGGCAACAGTATCCACCAAACGAAATAACGTGCACCTTAGAGGATTCTCTTGCATGAAAATGTATCTTCTGGGGGTACATATAGGAAAGGTAAGTCAGCCTATACAGTTTCTAAACAAAGGTATGAACAGACATGATTTGCCTTTTAAGCTTCCAGACATGCTATTTTGAAAACATCTGAAATACCTTGGAATTGCGATATTGCATTGCTTTCCATGTCAACAGCAGCCTAATGACACTTAACAGATTTATGGAAGTTAGAGACTGACAGACCTGGTGACCTGACAGAGGTCAGGCTGCCATCACCCTGTGTTCCTCAGTCCAGCCAGTAGCCTGGCTGAGCATAGGTATATGCCCACAGGACCAACCACACGTACAGGAATGCTCAGCCCTCTTGCAAACACAAATGTTATCATCAGGCTCAGCTTGTTCCCTCACTAGATAGTGAAGAGTATAGCCCATTAGTGGGAAATATATGCATATATGTGCAGAATATGATCCTGTCCTGAGGTAGCCCGGAGGAGATGTGGTAGGGGCTCAGCTGTTTCACGGTGTTGTAGGGGCTCTTCATCCTTCCAGAAGCACACTGGACTCCTCAGTCAGGCTGCAGAGCCTCACATAGTCACATAATTAATCATGTAACCTAACAACATGCACATCCAAGTCATACACAATGGATGGTAAGAACCACGTGTCTCAGAGCAAGGCCACCAGCATTCGTCAACCAGAAGCAATATTTTCAAGAAACCATTGAGTTTCTGCCTTGGGTACCTCTGAAACAGCTATTTCCTGGGGACATTGATCACAAGATTTTACTACCAGGCAGATACTTACTAATAGCTGTCAGATAGTACCTTCATAAAATATTGTCATCCCTGCTTCAATTAACCATCAGAACTGAAATCCACCTTAGTTACTATAGAACAAAAGTTATTCATTGTTAATTATTTAGTGTGACATTATGTTTAACAATTTAGTCAAGCTCACGTTGCCTAACTTTTGGGGAAAGGAGTTATCCTAGAAATATAACCCGTAGTTCAAAACTGTAAGGACACACATAGGACTTAAGGAGAAGAAAGATAATGAATTATACAAGTGTGATCACTATAAATTGGTCCCATTTCTACGTGTAAATACAGGTACTCACCTTGTGGAGGAATATAAGATATGAAGTTAGTAGGTGGAAAAAAAAAACAAACCAACCCAACATCTAAAGGAAGAAGAGTACGGTCTTATATCCAGGTGCCATTTCTTAAATATTAAAGATAATTAAAGCAGAAGAAAAAGTAGGAGGAAAGAACTGCAGTCAAGAACTTGACATTCAAGGAGACAGAACAGCTTTCTTCCTTCTGGACACTGTCCCTGAAGATCTGGATTAAGGCAGGTCATAGGAGGAGAACCAGTAGCACAGGAATGCGGTCAGATACTGTCACCTGTCTCATGGTTTTTCCCAAATGCTTGAGTAACATTGGGATCCAAAAGGCTCAGCTGCTCCTTGAGTGGAACATCGTTCCCTTGGCAATCTCTTATTTCTGTTTGACTTGTCAATGTGTACGTGGCTGTTGGAATATAACCTTACATTAAACTTTGTAAGTTTGACTTGGTAGTTTTGTCCTGAATGTGAGATCCCAGTGGAATATTTCCCTTCATTTTGATCATAAAGAACTATATTTTGAAACATATTATAGCTTGTATTCATCATGTTGCTTTTGTAGTCTACCATGTCCAGGTTTGACAAAACATTGATCAGTCATTCATTGAGCACATGGTTCAGCATAAAGCACAATGAAAGTTATCTCTGACTGCAGAAAATCTTAATAAAAGGAAACTGCTCTTTGAAGAATGCCAACTTTTCTCACCCTACAGTCAAAGGGAGGTCCAACCCACTTTATAATAAAAAAGAAGTCAAAATAACTACCTTCTCACATGTGAACAAGTATTTCAGAGTCCATTGCAAATGCCTTTAACTGAAATACTTCAGAAGTTGGATTAAGAATCAATTAACATGGTGTTAGTAAAGCTCAACCAAATAAACATACTTCATAATTTTTTGTTGTTAATATTAGTTAAAAGTGGAAATTTTTTTATTGTTGGAGGAGGGAAACTCTGTGTCACATAATTATTTAAAATTCTTTTTACATTTAAACATAAGCCTGTGTAATAAAAAAATACAACATACAGAACTTGGGCTTGTAATCCAAAAGATTTGATGGAGACAAAGATGTATAAAAGCATAATTGCATTAAGTAGAACAGGGGAAAATAGGGTCATGATGTCAATACCTGTGTTACTTAAATAAAACATAAAGAAGTACTTACTTGAGCATCAGCTATTAATGAGCCAGTTTATATCATTTCTAGCCATCTGTAGCCAGATGTTAAGATATATTAAAGTAGTCCTTCATATTTGAAGGAGAAAACCCACATGATTAAAAGTCTAAGAAACAAAAGACAACCAAACCTCAATAACCAGCTAAGCCAAGCAGAAACATGGAGGAATGATGGTAAGTTACACAAAAAGCCAAACCTGAAGCTGTGTGAATTAAGAAAGGATGTATCTGGGACCAGCTAGAGATGTGAGGTTGTTCTCTTATACCTTTTTAATAGCTGAAAAGCAGAAGCTGAGAACCTCTTTAACTTTGGGTAAGTGACTGGGAGTGTGGGACTGCCTTGCAGGGCACATCTGCACATATCACACATCAGTTGTCATGACAGCATGAAGTCTCCTTGCATAAAAGTAGACCATTACTGTGGGGTTTCCACCTGATGCTCACCAATGCAACGTGTCCAATCAACTGTGCAATTTGTTTAAGTGATTCTCCGCTGAGGCTGTTAAAGTGGAAGCTTTACTGGAAATTTAGGCCCTGTGGAAACTTTTCCTCAGGAGAGCCTCCCTATTCATGTCTATTAATTATACTGGGTCCCAAAGCTGCTATTTCCTTATTATTTTCTTACTTAGAAAGCTAGTATTGTCGGCTAATAGAAAATAGCTATCTGATAATTTCATTTGGAAATTATTAATTAGTCCAATTTTGTCGGTGTGTCCTTTTTTTTTTCCCCATAAAACCTGGAAGCATCTGAAATTGTTTCTTAGCAACCCTTTTCTGTTTCCCATTTCCTTCTACTCAGCTCCTCAAAGAGTGCTTCTAAAGGTGTAGTAAGGTTGGCCATTTCAGAGAAGAAGCTTTTATTTTCTCTCTCATATGAATGGTGAGATAGTGCCTAGATACCACAGTCTGATAGGAATATTCTCCAGCATATTAAAAACTGTCCTTGAAACAGTAAAATACTTCTAAACTGAGATAATAGGAGAATTACTGGCAAGAATACTATAACTGTATGTATTGTTCTTGGCAAGGACACAAGAGGAAAAGGACAGCTATTTCCTGATTGCTTTGTGTAGAAGGTTAATTTTGTCTAAACCAAAGCTTAGACATTTATCTGAATCTACAAAAGTATTTCTCACCTTGCTTCTATACCTCTAGCACCTTACTTTACCTACCCACACACAGAGGGCAGTTAGGTTACATTAGAAAGCCCAAATCATAAAATCATAGAATCATAGAATGGTTTGGGTTTTAAAAGACCTGAAGATCATCCAGTTCCAACTCCTCTGCCATGGGCAGGGACACCTCACACTAAACCATGTCGCCCAAGGCTCTGTCCAGCCCGGCCTTGAACACTGCCAAGAATGGAGTATTTGCCACTTCTTTGGGCAACCCATTCCAGTGTCTCACCACCCTCACAGTAGAGAACTTCTTCCTCGTATCTAACCTGAACTTTCCCTTTTTAAGTTTAAACCTATTACCCCTTGTCCTACTGCTACAGTCCCTGATGAAAAGTCTCTCCCCAGCATCCTTGTAGGCCCCCTTCAGATACTGGAAGGCTGCTATGAGGTCTCCACGCAGCCTTCTCTTCTCCAGGCTGAACAGCCCCGACTTTCTCAGCCTATCTTCATATGGGAGGCGCTCCAGTCCCCTGATCACCCTTGTGGCTCTCCTGAGGACACCAGAACTGCACACAATACTCCAAGTGAGGTCACACGAGAGCAGAGTAGAGGGGCAGGATCACCTCCTTTGACCTGCTGGTCATAGTCCTTTTGATGCAGTCCAGTATACAGTTGACTTTCAGGGCTACAATGCTTTCTTATTGACCAACACCCCCCATATCAATAAAATGTATTTAACATGTTGTGTGACCAAATGAGCATTGTCATCTCCTTTTGGATTTGTTCCCACAAAATACATATCACCTATACAAAAAGTAGAAGTTCTTCCAAATAGCTCTCCACTACACTGAGTTTTCCGGTTTTACCCTTCATCATGCAAATAAAAGTTACACGCCGTTTCAAAAGTGAGGTTTTTCAGAGCATGATCAGAAAGCTGTAAACCAGACTCTTTTAGGTTAATTTATAGTGAAACCTGTAAACCAGAGTATGGCAGGAAGGATACAATGGAAAACTTGTGCCACCAGAAGTCTGTTCACCCATTAACTGCCATGGAAAGGCCCTGAGTCACACAATGGGCTGCTGATTAAACAGAACAAGTCTGCTGCTCACTTGCTGCCCAGAGTCCTTGCAATGTATGGTGCTCCTTTTTGTTCCCTGGCATTTCTCTGAGTTTAATGCGTGTTGTAAAGCATGGGACTGATCAGTTTATCTACATTTATGTATATTACAGAAAGAAAAGTTAAAATTCTGCATGCAGGGTTCAGCATATTTTGAGACATAAAATATTTTTGTCATCTCCAAGTAAGTACATTATCAAAACCCTGCAATAATTAATCTCTTTGTCTAGCCACTTGTGCTAGCCTAGCCCCTTCTGCTGTTTTACCAGTACAAAAGGCACTTCACATTGCTGAGGAAAGATAACTGGTTTGCCACCCACCACAGGAAAAATTTCCTCCACACGCTTTGTGTAGCTACTTTAGACATACCTCTGGCTGCAGTATGGAAATTCAGGCAATGAACTCCAGAATGAGAAGGAGATGTTATTATTGCATGCTACATAAAATGGCTTTTTGGCATCTCTCTTTTGCCCCAGCTTCCAGCATGGAGAAACACAACTGGAGTTTTGCCACATTTGGGTATCCATTGCTTGAATCATCCCAATGTCAGCAAGTTGTAATACTTGAAATATACTAACATAAATGCTCCTTCCTTAATCATACTCATGTATATGAACTGAAAATCTGAAAATCCATCAAAACCTTTTAATCTACAGGGAAGCTGTGATGAAACCATCTTGGAGGACATCTGTCAATGCTTAATGTTTTTGTTTGTTGAAACTCTGCTGTTCCCAAGACACCCAGTCTCGGCTTTTTCCCGACTGCATCTAATCATGATGTTGTCAATGGAATCAATAGCAGCAGGAGGAGGGGCAAAATGGAGATGCTAATTGCCAAATCTGTAACTTATGCTACCTGTTAGGAAGCCCTGTGACACATACCAGCCCTGATAAAGGAAGATCTGGTGTATCCTACCATCACCTGGCAAAAGCAGCACAGCCATGTGTGCTCACAACCCACAGCTGCAGTGTCAACATCGAGCAGCACCAGTCTCTCAGAGGAAACACAAAATGGAACAGTTAGATGAAGTGGATGGGTAACCAGGGTTATGTCTACATTTCTGCCCCTACCATAGACATCTCAGTTTTATCAGGACTCCGGAGTTTACTCAATGGGAAATTAATTACAACTTCTGTCACTCTGACAGAATTTGCTCTCTCTGTGGTCTCCCTCTCAAAGTTACAGAACTGTGGTGCAATGTTGTATTTCTACCACTGAAAACCTGGGCTTTCGTATACAGAAAGAGGACACTTGGTGGCACTCATTCAACATCATTTTTACTTCCCTAACCACAGAGTCTCTGGGTTGGCCCGAATATGTGAAATATTCCCCTTAATAAGATTATCCCACGAACTCTGTCACTAAGACCAAATCCTGCAGTCACTAAGCTCTGACTTAATCATTAATGAAGTAAAAAATAATACATTTTGTGCAAAAGAAAACTAAATAGCAGTTTATCTGATCTCTACTTCTTAAGAAAGTTTTAAAAATTAATTTAAACTGATCAGTAAATTCAAGCTATGTTTTTTGCCTACCAACTATTCTGCAAAATATTCACTTTTCTGCTTGAATGGGTACCAAAAATTTACTCCCTGTATAATGTGCAAATTCTTTGCCCCTGCACATCACTGTTCATCTTGCATACAGATGTTTGAAAACAAATAAAAGAAATAAGCCCTGGCTGAATCATCTGGTAAATAAGACAGCTACTGAGGAAGAGATGATAGCAAAGAAGGTAGAGGGTTGCATTTGACTGTACACAGTAGTTCTTCTAATTTATATTTCTAGTGACTGCCATCTGCAACCCAGCATTCATACTATGTTTTGAGAAAGACACATGAGAAGCAGCAGCACCCTAACCCATTTAGATGAACAAATAACTATAATCCCTCTATAAAATCCTTCTTTCCCAGGAATCACCCCAGTATCTCATGGACAGTACCTTAAAGTCCTGCCAAGGACCACAGCCTTGTCGCTTACACCTGGCAGGTATTTCTAACAAAGCTGCTGAAATATCTGTCAGTAGGGGATTTATTACCCTTACAGGAGGACACAGTTACATTAGCTGAGGATAATCCAACACCATCAGACAGCTGAAAGCTTGACTGAAGTTGCCTGCTCTGCAGGAGGGGCTCAGATGTCCCTGCAACTCTCCACTTACCATACTCAAAATAAAACTTCTGCGAAACACAGGTTACAAATAGGTCAGTAGGCACCAGCAGCCAAGACATCCT